GGGCACCCTTTACTTATAGTAAATCCATGTTTAACTCAATTTCCCTAAAAAGTGGACATATTCAGTTTCTGCATTGACCACAGTACTGTCGATACCGGCGAAGCGAGCGGATGTGTAGTTCGAGCGCTCGGTGCCGATCCACAATAAAATTCTTAAAGAAACATAACTATTATATACAGTGTAGTCGAGTAAAGTACGGTGCGAAACAGTGCTACTATTTGGGTTATTAGTATGTATACATAACGGTACAGGTGAAATCAGGGTACTCGCGTGCGGGTGAGCTCTTGAAACGTAAAAGTTTAAAGATGAAACTAACAATAATTAAGTGAAACAAACATTTTCATGGAGTGCAAGCTAAAATGGTGTAACGGTCATTGAGGAGTGGAGTGTTGGGTGATATGATATATTCACTGGACTGACGGGGGAGGTCGGAGAAGAGGGGAGGTGGCCATCCGCAAGGGGAAAAATCTGATAAGTTAATTTAAAATTTTACTTTAAGAGTATGCATGACCTGATACAAATCTGCAATATAAATACGGCAGATCCCAGCAAGCATTTTCCGTTATTTGTCGCCATTAACATTGCCCGTATTCATTTCATTAAACATAACATTTATTTTACTTGAAAACGTTAAAATAACTTTAAAATATGATTATGTTAAGAACATATTTTACTCTTTAAACAATTGTTTTGTTTTTAATTACTATCATTGCAAAATTGTATTAAAAAGTGTTAAAAATTCTTACACGGGCAATGTTAATGGCGATAGGTATCGTTAAGTGTTTATTGGGATATCTTTAAAACCTATGAAGGGCACGCGGCGTGGGGCAATAAGTCTGTCAACAGCAAATGCGTAAGGCGGTCCCAATCGAGACCGAAAATAAACACTGGACTGACAGAGTAAACTAACATTGATCACATAATTCTAACACATTAAAAAAAAGGGCCTAATAGCCAAACTCGAGATTTGTAAACATTAGACAACAGAATAATCGCGCTTGTGATTTGTTTGACTAGTGAATAAATGCAATGCTTTGGAATTTGATAAACAAAGACGGAACTCTACCACAAAACGTGCTTGGGACAAAAATTATTAAAAACAACTGACACACTTTACCAAGGGCAGGAACTATCTGACCAGGACACGGACAATGACAATAACGAACAAGACAAAGACCTGGACTAGGAAACTACACCCCTGCAGCGAAATAACAACTCCCCAACTCCAATTAGTAATCCCAAATGTTTGGAGTAATACTAATCGACTGGTTTAGGGGGATTCCGCGTCGTACTTAGTTTTAAGTCGGCGTAATTGTCCCCCAAAAACCAACTCCCTCCCGTCCCTCATCCATACCCCACTGAGCGTATAGCATAGGCTCGGCGAACCCGGGAATGGCTATTATAACTATTCGCCTCTCGCTCTCGAGCCCCAAATAGGGGACAGTACGGAACGCAATGGACATTCGCACCCAGCAAACACGGGTGAAGCCGTGCAGTTGATGGGGAAGAACAAAAATCGGCGTAAGTAAACATAGGCCTGTACGGGGTTCGAGAGTCAAGAGGAAATGGGGCTGGTTATACGTCTCTTATACTCATACTCATACTCATATTCAGTTTCTGCATTGACCTATTCAATTACAAAATCAGGTTGCGGATTGTCAAAAATTTGCTCTGTTATTCCGAGAAGAAAGATGTTGTATATTGCCTCCTTTGTTGGATATTTCCAGTGGCGAACTGGAAACACCTTTTTGAGCGTATCAAAAATCATGAAACTTCTGACTATCATGTAGATTCGTGTACAGTGTATGAAATGTGGCGTAAAAGCGGTACCGTTGACATTGCATGTCATAAATCATTGCGCGAGGAACAAAATTCTCAAACGGAGTGACAACATTAAGGATTCAAATAGAGGTAATTTTCTTTCTGTTATTGATCTGCTGACCTGCAGGTTCTACGAAATATCTCAGTTATCAAATACAAAACGAAGTTATTTCTTTGTTGGAACAAGAAGTTTATAAGGATATCATTCGTGATTTAAAGGATGCTCCATTTTTCTCTATTATTTTGGACACGACCCAAGATTCCAGCAAAATTGATCAGTTGAGTTAAGTTTTTTGTTTTGTACATTAGGGTGGAGCGAAAAAAACAAAAAAAATTTTTTTTCTTAGCCTGGGGGTGGAATTTGTAGCCTATAAAAAAAGAAAGTTTTTGAAATAAAAAAAAAAAATTACCCAACGTCTTGAGGTGGCCCACTGATTTTTTAAATTAAATTTAAGTTAAAATTCTTTTGAATAAAAAAAAAATTTCAAAAGTGTTCCGGAAACTGCGGAGTGTCCTCTTTCATGCTAATTAACAGTTATGAACTTAAAAAAAAAATTTGTGGTCATTATTGTTGTTTTTAAAAAAATTCCAAAATAGTAACATGCTTTTCTGAGGCAATAGAGCGAATTTCGAGTTGAACACGATCAAATTTGTTTATATTTAGATAAATTTGAAGATTACAAGCCAAAAATTTTTTTTTTTTATTTAAAAGAATTTTAACTTAAATTTAATTTAAAAAATCAGTGGGCCACCTCAAGACGTTGAGTAAAAATTTAATTTTTTTTTTCAAAAATTTTCTTTTTTATAGGCTACAAATTCCACCCCCAGGCTAAGGAAAAAAAAATTTCGCTCCACCCTATTGTACATATTGAAAGAGGAGAACCGATTGATCTGGTCACAGACGAAATATTCACCTCATTCACTCCTGTGAAAGATCAATCTACGTCAGGCCTTAAAACACTTGTTTCAGATTCTCTAAATGAAAAGTGTCTCGATCTTCAAAAATGTCGGGGTCAGGCGTATGATGGTGCAGCGGTCATGAGCGGCGAGTATTCAGGATTGCAACAGAGGATCAAAAACGTAGCTCCACATGCAGATTTTGTACATTGTGCTACTCATAATTTAAATCTGGTTCTGAAAGACGCAGTTTCGTCCAACCGAAGTATTGAGGAATTTTTCGATACTGTTCAGTCTGTTTATGATTTTTTTGGCAACAGTATAAGTCGATGGGAGAAGTTACAGAGCGTTTACGAGAACGGTGCACCCACTATGAAAACTTTGAATCCATCTCGCTTTTCTGGGAAGTACGATGCTGTTCATGCTTTGAAACAAAGGTTTTGCGATATACTCAAATGTTTAAGCCAAATAATATTGAAAACAAAAAAGTCCAGCGAGAGGAACATGGCGCGCCATGGCGTTGCAAATAATGAACTTGCCGTACAAATTATTTCAGAAAAAATCGATCTTTTTTTGTAAATGATCAGCTTCAAAATGCGTTACAGAGAATCTGGAGCTTTAGACAAAATTTTGATTCGTTAATGATAAATATATCAGAAATTTGCGCCAAGTGGAAAATTGAGAGAAAGTTCCTTGACACAAGATCACGTAAGGTAAAGTCTCACTTTGATGAATTATCTCAAGATGAGAGATTAAATGATCCTCAACAACGATTCCGAGTAAACATTTTTTACCCAATGTGTCACCTTCCTTTTTCTCTCAGTTGCTTTCTGTACGGTTGACATCTTCGAAAGAGATCAGTTCAATAAAAGATGTCACAGCACAGCACTTCTGATATTTCTAACTGTCACTACTACGAAAGCTGAACGGACTTTCTTTAAATTAAATTTAATTAAAAACTACTTGCTCAATGGGACAAAATAGACTTAGTAAACCGCCGACGGTGGACTAGTGGTTAGTGCTGCTGACTACAAGCCGAGAGGTCGTGGGTTCGAATTCCACCAGGGGTATGGCTGTTTATTTGTGTTTGTCCTATTGTGTAATAGTCCTTCGGAGGGGACTTTAAGCCCGCGGTCCGTTCCTACCTCTAACCCGCTCAAGCCATTCAGTTGGCTTCTGGGACTTCTTAGGAAGTAAGGGTGGAACTAAAAGAGCACTTTTGTATATAAACTTTTTTGTATAATTTAGCGCTGCTGTCTATTGAAAATCAAAGAGCACGCAAAATTGACATTAATAAAGTAATAAACGAATTTTCTTAATTTTATTAGTTAATGCCGCCTGAAGAGGGAAATGGCTATATTAATAAAGTTAAACAGAAATTAATTTTTGATACTTTGGTAACTGCGCCGATATCATGTACCAGCGGTACATGATATCGGCGCTGTATAACGCTGTGTAACGCAATATAAAAAAACCCTTTTAATTTTTGCAGACGGAACAAATTTTACATAGTCTTGTTTACAATATTGTGAACTACAAAATGAATATAATTGGATAAGCTTGATTTCCAAAGAAAAAACTACTTTACAGCAATTTTTGTTATTTTAAATTATAAAATAATAAATAGAAAAAAAATTATTAAAAAATCATATTAGTTTTAAAGTTGCAGCCATTTAAACTTAAATAATTTTAAAGATAAAAGTATATTGTAGCGAGGACGGCTCTGGATCTCGGAATGATGACTCATCGCCGATGAGTCATCGCCGGTGACTCAGCGCTCGAATAATCGAGAGTGTGGAGCTCGCTGGAATGTTCCAGAAGACGTAGGCGCTGAATATATAAGGAACGACGCATCATGGAGAGTCAGTTGAGCTTTGGTACTCGCGAAGAAATAAATAAATATAAGTGCAAATAAATAAACTAGTAGTGATATAAATAATTAGTAGTTAAGTGTTTAGTTAGTTTTATAGTGTTTTAAGTGTAGTTAAGTTATTAAATAAATAGTTTAGTTCGTTAATTAACCAGTGCGTGTTTTTATTCACACTACGAACAGTTAAAAACGTTACAATATTTTTTATTGATTCTTAATTTGGTCAACTTTTAGGCTCTATACCTATTTTATTAGTGAACATTTTTAAATATTATAAAAATTACGTAAAAATTCAATGTTTTTTTATAAGAAAATCAATTTAGAAGTGTTTATAAAGCAAAATAGTATTTTTTCTCATGCAGATTGCATTGTTTAGGTTTGCCTCCTTAATTTCGTGAAAATAAGTACTGACCTGACACGCATTTCGGGAATGTTGTATGGCACCTTCTCGGCGGAGCTAGGTGATGGAACGGCTGTCGTATCTTCCAATAGTTGCAACTCATCGGCGCACTCCAAAATATAAAGATCGTCACTGCAAATATCGGTGATGTAGTGGAGATTCTCTTGAGCTTTGTCCACTCTGAAGAATCGTTCGGCAGTAATAGCTGCAAATGGGGGTAATAAAACATCATATATTTGTTTAAAGAGGTGTACTAAAGTAACTTACAATCGACGAAGCACCAGTCAGGGCTTATTTTCTCGTCATCATTCAAACCGTCAACAAATTTGTTGATCAAAGATCGAACGTATTCCAAATCGTTGGTCGGGTTGATGTCGAACGCACCCATTTTAATTGCTAAAAAAAGAATTCTTTTTGATCATGCGTGGATCCATGAATCTACTTTTTCTATTAATTCCATTACTTGTCAGCGCAAAAACATGTATTATGTATTTTACTTTTTTTACAAAAATATTCAAATAGTATGTGGTTTGTACTATGCTTATAAAAAAATATGGAATTTTAGTTTTATTACCTATTTCTCTACTCTAATCATAACTTTAGGTGCAATGGGATAAAATCCGTTTTGAAAAAAAAAGATTTCATTTGACACTGATTTTATTTTACTTATTTACCTAAATCTTTATTTTAATAGACATTAAATTTTCAAATTGTACTATCATAAACATGCTTTTTTGTAAAATTGGGGTTGTCGTATTTGGATGACATAATTATTACGCACTCTGTAGTTATTTTTGTTATGGTATACCCACAATCCACACAACAAGGTCTGTTCGATCTCGTAGTAAAAATACTAAAAATCACTGCAACACTGCACATCATACGATGGCGGCCATTTTTGTTGTTTAAAATTCTTGTGCTTTGGGTTTGTACAGATCAATAATCGTTTTAAACGTTGTGTTTTTTTACAGAGAGACTTGCAAGCTTTAAAAGAGACCTCAAAGTGGTAAGAACAATCATTTTACTCCTCTTTTGAAAAAAATAAACCTAAATTGTGTGGATTGTGGGTATACCAACATAGTGGTTGGTACTGGGAATCGCGAACAGTGACTGGAATCAAAGAATCTTTGACTGGAATGACGCGAATGTGAGATTCCTGTGCAATATTGCTTTTTCACAAATTCCGGCAAATTTTTGCTTTGTCATGAGAAAGTATTTTTTTAACATTTTTATCATAATACATTTGACACAGCAATTGTATGCTCATTTAAAGTACCTAAAGTATTATGATATTTTTACGATGATATGATATATTCGTAAGTTATTTTTAAATTTTTTAAATCATAAAAATCTTGTTGAATAAGATTTAATAAAATTTTAAATAAAATAATTTTACCACCTAAAAGTTGTTTTCCAGTAAGTACCTATTTTCTAAAAGAACGTAGGTACCTAATTTAAGAATTTTCTTACCTAAAACAAGAAAAAAGTTTACCAATTTTTATAAATTTTGCAACCTAAAATCACATATTTAATTATAAATAAAAAAATAGTACAAACCACATAGAATATGAAATTTACAACTCTGGTAAAAAAAGCATTAACTTTTTGTACTACCGTTTTATTGAAATAAAAAGAATAAGTATGAATGGGATTTTATTTTCTTATTTAATTATTGTTTTGGATATTATATATATATTAATTTTGTAGATACTAAAGAAAATGACGTAAACACTTATGTTTTTAAAATGTCTGTAATTATTTTTTTAACACTATATTTTTATCATGAAGGTACTTGTGCTTATGAAGCTCGTGGATTCGCCTCTGCTTTTGTTATTGAGCAATAAATGCAATCATAAATAAAATGGTAAATTTAGTATGACCGACTAGTGATGAGAAATATATTGCTAACTGTGATTAGATAGCTGCTGCTCAAAAATAGCAGATAGCAACTGTTGCCTTATATCAAAACTAGCAGCTATTGGCCAAAACTGCTATTTTTATGAATCACCCCATCTTACTTCTTTATCAATAATAATATGTTACTTAAGTATAAATTAATAAAAAAATAATTATGTTTCAGCATTTTTAACTTTATAAGAATAAATATGTAGCATCGAAATAAATAAGTTAATAATTGTTAGTGCAAAGCAAATTAAATATCTCAGTTTAGCCATAACTAGTACTGACTGAAAACTTTAGAACTTGGATAAATCACTCTGTGTTTTGTAAATATAATGGTAATTTTCTAATAACATTTTGGAGTTATTAAAGTATATCATAAATAGCATGTATTAGAACATATGAGGATCTTAACCCTTTAACGCTTACTGGTAGGTAATCAATGACTTGTAAAACTTACCTGAGTCAATTAAGAGATTCTTTTCGTAATGGTACGCTTTGTAATCGGCGATGTTTAATCGGTGAAGATTGATGGTTAGATCGGCAATTTCGGCATGGTGAACGACTCCTTTTCCCTTTTTCTTGGCTAGCATGGGCGCCTTGTTCAGCAGGGACAACTTGATCACAGATGGATTCAATTTGCATGCTTCGCCGTCCACCTGCATCGGGATGGTTTTGTCGGTTACAAGGGTGGCGGTCTGGCACTGAGCAATGGCGGAACCGTGGCCTCCAGCTTGCAACAAAGGCTGTAAAAATGAAATACAATGTTAGATTTTAGAAGTAAGAAATGTTTACAATTTCTTACCAGTTGGTAGGTGGTTAGACCCACTACTTCAATATAACCATCTTCGGTGCTTTGTTCGTGAGATCCCATCGATCTGTTCCATGGTCTAGTTCCACCTCCGTAGCTATAAAAAAAGAATAACTTTAATAAAATAGTAGAAACCAGGCTGAAAGACCTCGGTTGATGGCCTTTTGGTTTTTTCCAATAAATATATTTACTACTAGTACAAATCACATAAAATATGAAATAACTGTGTTTTACATCATTCAATCTGTCAAAGAGTTTATGAGATATCCTTATCTTAACCATGATAACATTGTGCAACAAAGAACATGAATTGATTTTATATGTTGGTTACCAGTTTTTTTGATAATTTTTAAATAATGCATTTTATATATAATAGGGTATTGACAATACCGTATTGTATTTATAACTTTGAAATTTTTTTATTTTTATTGTGTTGTAACGACTTACTGTGCAGGTATTCGATTGCGGAAATTTCAGCAGATTTTGGAACATAAGCAGTGGAATTTTATGAAATGTTCGTTTTAGTCTTTATATTGTGGGATCTTCATAGGATGCTTCATATATACATTAGGGTGCTTCAAAAAAATTTTTTTTTCGCTCTTACCCTCTCAAATGTTTTTATTTAATATAAAAAAATTCCTCACCAAATATGGGCGTTCCAGCTCAACTCTAAGAGGTCGCTGTTTTTATTTTAGTTTCCCATTGAATTAACATGGGAAAAAATTAATTTATGTTTGGAATTTTATACCTCTGTATAAAAGTAACTTATGGCAATGATCATTGCAGTTTCTTATATAAAATTTTATTCGAGGTCAAAGTTTGATTAACATTAAATTTTCTGTTTTTTTTTTAAATTTTATGGTATAATTAGCAGACGGGAAGTGAAAGGGGGCAAAACAAGGCAGCGGGGGGGGGGGAAATGGGGTACCCAAAAAATAAGCATATGAAAAGTTTTCCAAAATTGTACCATCCTTTTTCTCGCTCTACAGGCTCAGAATAATTATTTTCGATTAAAAGCGTGAACTTGTGAGTCAATTTTCAAATAATTTAGAAACCGAAAAAACAATCTAAAAAAAATATTTTTTTACGAAATATTTTGGGTACCCCATTTTGTCCCCCGTTGCATTGTTTTGCCCCCTTTCACCTCCCGTCTGCTAATTGTACCATAAAATTAAAAAAACCAGTAAATTTGATGTTAATCAAACTTTGACCTCGAATAACTCTAGAAGAAATCAATTTATCGAAAAATAATAAGAGACCTTTTTTGTAGAACGTTAAATTTTATATAAGAAACTGCAATTATCGTTGCCATAAGTTACTTTGATACAGAGGTATAAAATTCCAAACATAAATTAATTTTTTCCCATGTTAATTCAATGGGAAACTAAAATAAAAACAGCGACCTCTTAGAGTTGAGCTGGAACGCCCATATTTGGTGAGGATTTTCTTTATATTAAATAAAAACATTTGAGAGGGTAAGAGCGAAAAAATTTTTTTGAAGCACCCTAATATACATGTATATATGTATAGTTATGTATATATGCATATAAATGTGGTTTCAATAGAATGTCGCTATTTGTAACATCGCATGAGAAATGACGATGTTGTAGACCAAAAATGGCTACCGAGAAGTATGTGATCTCTCCTCTAGCAATACATTAAACGTATAATTAATTAAATCTTCTTCTGGTCAAAAAAATCTTGGACAAAGACACAGTTACCAACATATATATGTATAAATAAATAAAAACTTAATTTAAAAGTTATTAAATATAAGTGCTTGAATATATCACGCAAATATTGAAAGCGGTTGTGCACATCCTTAACGTTAAATTTAAAACGAAAATCTTTAATACATACCTCGGAATGTTAAGAAATACAATGGCATGTACTTTTAGCTCCTTCAGTTTTGGTGTTAAATCTCGGCCGTCGCACTCGAGGGTAACGTGATCCGACAAATCCCTCCATTTGCGCTTAAGCAAATCCTTGCCGCCCATCTGACCGTAGAACACCTTGTTGCGGAGCCTCGAATTAAATTTTTCTGGGTGAGCCTCTGAAATAATAAACGTTATTAGGTTTATTTCACCCAAACTTTATTAGGTAGAAATATAAAATATAAATATATATTTATATATATAATATATATATATATATATATATATATATAATATATATATATATACGAGCCCTAACCACATAATGTTCGGACACTTCATAATTTATACAGAAATTTTTTTCGTGAATACTATCTCAAAATTATTAGAAGTTATGAAAAATTCAGCTTATTTTGGCATATACCCCTCGAAGCGATTTTTATTTTTAAAAAGTTTACCTTTTATTTTTAGCTTTTAAAAAAAGGCTAACTTTTTAACTTTTTTTTGCATGAGTAAAAAAAGTTATAAATGGGCCCATTAAAAAGAACATAAAATATTATACAAACCCTGAAAATTTGGTAAAAATTGTATAAATAATAAGAAAGTTATAGCGATATATATATCTGCAAAATCTCCCGTTTCCTAAGAAAATTGCAAAAACTCTTTAAAAATAGCATTTTTAAATTACTTATACTTTTTTATAACTTATTTATTTTTTACCAAATTTTCAGGGTTTGTATAATATTTTATGTTCTTTTTAATGGGCCTATTTATAACTTTTTTTACTCATACAAAAAAAAGTTAAAAAGTTAGCCTTTTTTTAAAAGCTAAAAATAAAAGGTAAACTTTTTAAAAATAAAAATCGCTTCGAGGGGTATATACCAAAATAAGCTGAATTTTTCATAACTTCTAATAATTTTGAGATAGTATTCACGAAAAAAATTTCTGTATAAATTATGAAGTGTCCGAACATTATGTGGTTAGGGCTCGTATATATATATATATATATATATATATATATATATATATATATATATATATATATATAAATATATATACAGGGATGGTAATGTGCTCTTAGACCGTTTAATAAATAAAGACAAATGCATTATGAGACGTGGGAGTGGTGGAGTGACGTAATAGTAGTGGGGCAAGCCAGACCACGCCGCGCGGCTACGATCATCGCCCGACCGCAGCAAGAGCACTTTATCTAATCTATGGACAAGAGAATGTGTTGTAAGTAAGCGGTAGTACGTTTGTTATAAATTAGGAAATATTCTCTAATAAAAATGGTTTACACCCTTGAAGAAAATGTACGACAAAATTTTTATAATAGGTTAACCTATTGTACAGCAGCGTTTGGGGGCCTATTTGAACATTTACTTTGATTTATTTATTTTTTTATTTAAATATTTTAGAACACCATTTTTGTTTGAACATTTACTTTATTTATTTTTTTATTTAAATATTTTTGTTTAAACATTTACTTTAATTTATTTATTTAAACATTTTAGAATACCATTTTTGTTTAAGAATATTTGTTTTTTTTATTACAAGAATACTATGGTTTATTTTCCACATTTTCGAAAAAAATTCAATAAGTATTCGTTTTTGTAAACAAAATCATAGTTAAATTTTAAAGGAAATTTAAAATTCCTCCGTCCACACTCCAACGTGGACCGAATAATACTGAAATTATTTCGAGACTCGATCGCGAAATTTGCGTCAAGGTTATCTAGTAGTGGGATTGTAAAGCAGTTAGAGGAGGGGAAGTAAAACATTGGCGGACGTTTAATTGTTTTGATTTAATCGTTTTAAAATCTTGTAGTGCACGCTTATGGCAGAGGGGAAATAAGTATTCTGTTATCCTATTCGTTCAACAATGGTTGTTTGTCTCTCTTATTTATACGTTTATCTCACTTATTCGTACGTTTTATATAGCATGCATCTTTGTTTATTAAACGGCCTAAAAGCCCATTACCATCCCTGTATATATATAATAATAAAATAATAATAATAAAGTTTTTATTTATTGTCATATAAAAAAAATTATGAACATAAAATAAAAATGTAATACATTACTAGAGTAAGAAATGGCAATAAAAAAGAGCTAAAAGGCAGTTAAAAACTGATATAGAATTTTAGCCCTCAGATAATCCAATTAATAATTTACAAAAAAAAAATAATACTTAGTATGTATAAGTATAGTTCGTTTCTTCTGTTTAAAAAATGTATTAGGGCGTTTCTCTGTAAACTGGGCAACTTGAAGTAAGAAATTGTCTAGGCAAGTTTTTTTGTTATATTTTTGTTGTATTTAATAAATGTTATTCGAGGAATAAATATCGGTCTATTTATTAGTATATGGCAGATGAACCAAAAATATTCCTAATACTTTGGAAAACATTGAGCATTTTCTGAAAAATCTATACAGGGGACTGTTTATAAAATCCGGAGACAAAGTTTAGATGACTTTTTTAGAATTACAAAATAATAATTATAAAAAATAAATAAGTCACAGTAACAAGCAAATATTGGTTGAATAATTAAACAATTAGGTTGATTCCAATAGTTACTGTCTTTAATTAATTTAGTCTGAAGTGACCATTTTGCTTTGGTGACACGTCAGGGGACTGGTTTTTAAGGACTATAAAAACGATTTTGATACATTAAAGTTTATTTTATTGGATTTTGAACGTCGAGCATAGGTAGATTAGGTTATTATCTTTTGAAGTTATCTACGAAATATTTATGATCTGTTATTTTTCTAAACAATATTAGCTTGAGACAATGAGTTGCCCAGTTTACAGAGAAACGCCCATTACCTAATATGAAAAATGGCGAATGCACCGGGATTAAATTTTAAATTATAGGTATTAGATTTTTTGTACATCTAAATTTAAGGTTCTTAAATTTATATTATACTTATTATGTTTGATTAAATTAATTTTAAAACCATAATTATTATGTGGTGGCCCAAAAATATCGAGGATGACGGTATGCTACGGTGTAGAAGGGGTTATTTAAAGTACCTATACAAAAAATCAGCCAAGTTTTTAAGTTATAATTAGAGATAGGAATTTAGGTTGCATTATTTATAAAAAATAGGTACCTAAATAGGTAAACTTTTTTCTTGTTTTAGGTGAGAAAATTCTTAAATTAGGTACGTTCTTTTCGAAACTTTTAGGTAAAATTATTTAATTTATTATTGTTCACAATTTTGTTGAACAAGATTTTTATGATTTATAGAAATTAACTTACGAATATGTCTTATAAAAATATCATAATACCATTATAAATTTTATAATTTTTTAAGGCAGCTGCACAATTTTTTTTTGTATTGAGCATACAATTGCTGACTTCAAATGTATTATACTAGAAATGTTTTAAAAAATACTTTTTTTATGAAAAAGCAAAAATTTTCCAGAATTTGTAAAAATGCAACATTGCACAGGAATCTTCTTCAATCGCGTCATTCACGTCACTCGCCTTATTTACGTCTCTCGCGTCATTCGAGTCAATGTTCGCGATTCCCAGTACCAACCACTATGTTGGTAATGTGGTATACCAACCAACCCACATGACCAACAAAAATAACTAAATAGTGAATACAAATTTTGTGATCTAAATACGAAAACACCAATTTTTCAAAAATAACATGTTTTTGATGGTACAATTTGAAAATTTTATTTCTATTAAAAGTAAGAATTTAGGTGAATTAGGTAAAATCACATTATTTTAGGTGGTAAAATTTAAAAATTATTTCCATTTTTCTTAAAAATTAAAATTTAGGTAAAATAAAATCAGGGTCAAAACGGATTTTATTCCATTGCAGTTATGATTAGCGTAGACAAATAGGTAATAAAACTAAAATCCCATCTTTAGTTATAATTATGGAATAAGGATTTAAATATTTAATTTTGATTTCATAATTTTATTTTTCAAGGAATAGGTATTTAATAAAAAATTTTAATGACGTTTCAAATATAAAAGTCAAAATTTGTTATAAAATAAATTGTATCTAATAATTTTTTCCACGACCACTATGTAAAAGTCACATTTCGTATTGCCATCGTTGCTTAGAAAATTAATCTTTTCATTGGCAAGGCAAAACACGAATGAAAAGTGACATTTCTGTGTGAAAAGTGACAGGTCTGTGTGAAAAGAAATTGACAGCATCGTTTGACATTCGTTTCAAATTTTGTATTGTATTTGTATATGTATGTCTTAATATCATTTAGAACACAATTATTTGTGTTTGTATAATACCTAAATTCTAGTTTTTAGTGCCTTTATTTAAATTGAGAAGGTAAGTTTACTGATTTTAAGTAACATACCCTAAAAATTAAAAGAATAATATGAAAGAATTTTAACAGCTGTCAAACACGTTTTTAGGTTATTTTGTTTTGTATTTGAATATAATAAAAAATAAAAGGGTCGGAGAAAAAACATTGTGTTTCACTTGTGAGAAAAGCTTTCTTCGAGCTCGTGTTAATGCACACTCGGCCTAACGGCCTCGTGGGCAACTTAAACACTCGCATGAAAAAGTCGCTTTTAAACACTTGTAAAACAAATAACTATTACAGAAACTGTCAGAATATATATCTGTTAAATATTTTTACTTAAGATAAGTGCTAGATGCTAGATTTAGTTTTCATAACAGAAATGTAATATTATGCAGTTTTTTTTTAAATTAAATGCTTAATATCTCAAAAACTGCTTGTCGGAAACGTTGTTTTGTATATTGATTTATTATTATTTATATATATATATATATATATATATATATATATATATATTAGACTGGTTCAAAAAAATCGATTATTTTTGAAAATTGTAGCTCTTAATATTAATATTTAGAGGTCGCTCATCGTGAATTTCTATTTTACGTTGAAATAACACAGGGGTTCTTTTTTCTTAACTTTAAAATTTTATAACTCGTTTTTGAGTGAACATATTGGAATGAACTCTATATATTTTTGAAGAAAATTGAACGTTCTACAAAAAATGTCTCGTTTAAATTAAAAAATTTAATTGTTTCGTAAATTCACTCCTTTAATAGTTATTCAAGGTTGAATTTTTTTAACTTTTAATTTTATAACTTTTTTTTGAGTGGTCATATTGGAATGAGCGATAATTTTTTTTAAAAAAATTAAAAAAAGTTCGAACTCACAGATTACAG